AACTATTTTAAGTACTTTTTTATCCTCAACTCTAAAAAATGCATATTGTTCGTCTCTTTATTAGTTAATTTGTTAAATTTATCTATAGAGACACATTTTTAGTTCTTGAATTTATACGTTTTGAGATTAAAAATATGTGTATATTGTAAGTTTAAGAACTAAAAAGTTTATATTTTAACAAATTTAACGAAATAACTAATGAAAAGATGAAAATATACATTTTTTAAAGCCAAGGAACAAAATAAGTGCAAAAACTAAAAGCTGGGGATGGAATAATTATCTTTATTAAAGACAAATATTTATTTTTTATCGTATTTATTAAAAATACTTATATTTTTCACCTAACAACTTATGATAAATCTTAATTATTGAAAGTTGAGAAATGAATAGTTAAAATTTGGTATAAGTATAATATGTAAAATTTATAAGTAAATAGGTTTCTATTTTTATATATATATGTATATAGAGACAGAATTTTTAAAAATTTTCAAAATTATCAAATGATGACAGGCAATTTATTCATTTAGTCCCTTTAAATTTTTTTAATTAATGAACCCTAAAATTTCCCTCAAGTTTTGTCATTGGTTGCAAGTTGTTTTACAGCTCAAAACTCCTCCAATAAAGGGTGTACATATACAGGTAGGCTAATAAAGTTACCGATACACTGGCTAAATTTGCTGCTACCTTATGAAGGAACCTTTTGTTGGTTTTGATATTGTTCCTAATTTTTGTAAGACTAAGTTCACTCTTAATAGGGCTGAAACTGTATTGTGTAAGACTTAATTTCGATTATAATATTCCTATTTACACAAAAAAAAAAAAAAAAAGAAAAAAAAAAGAAGAAGGGAGTATACTGGTACACTGGGCTTCCCTGGCTATTTTCATATTTTAGCTCTAATTTTTTACCCGAGAAAGAAAGCGAAGAAGATGCTTGTTTCTTTCCTTTCTTTTTTTTTTAAATCGTTTTTGTTACCTCATCTATCACTTTCATGGATTCCCGGTTAGAACGATGTTTAATTTAATAAATAATTTAATAATTTTTGTATTTTTTAATTTTATCTATTATTTTTAAATATTTTTAGATTCATCTATTATCTTTTATTTTTATTTTAGTTTAATATAGTTTATTAACTTTTTTAACAATGATTTTTCTCTATTTGGTCAAATTAATTTTTAATTATATCTTTTATTAATTTTTATCCCTTAAAGTTAGTTTTATCTCAAAATTAATTTTGAGATAAAACTAATTTTATAATAATGATAAATTTTTTTATTTTTTAAAAATTATAATTTTTATCACAAGCTACTTTGGTTTTTCCATTTAACAATTTTCTTTCATAACATAAATCATAATTTTTTATATATTTTAATAGTTTATATATTCTATGATGAACTAGTTTCGTTAGTTAAAACCATTTTATTCTAATTTTGATTTAAGTTTTTTTATTTTTTTTATTTAAACAAATAAAAGTTCTATATTATAGATTATTCTAATATATTTTATTAAATTTATAAATTATTAAAAAATTAAATATTTTAAATTAAAATAAAATTAAACTAATAACTAATACATTAATAATTAAATTAGGAGAAAAGGCGCGTCCGTCCTAACATCAAAAGAAAAGTTGGAGTTTCAAACCAAAACGACGTCGTTTCTCTTAATCCCCAGCCCTTCTTCAATCATCTCCATCTCCATCGCCTCCTCAACTCCTCCGATTCCTTTAATTTTTCAAACACAATCCCATGCCGCTGACTTAATCCCCAACACCAATTTTTTCTTCATCATGTCAAGGAACCGATCATTGTCCTCCGCCGTACATCTTGGATCATTGACCAGCAGTGCCCCAGTTTCCTTGAGCACACGACTCACCTCGCCGCACAACTTATCGAATCCGGCCTCGATGTTAGCCGCTTCCTTGGCGGAGTCACCACCGAGTTGGCTGGTGATCTTCAAGTACGGCTCCAGATCTATCACAGGTAGCTCCATTCTTCTTTTTTTTTTTTCCTTTTTTTGGAAGTTGCAGAGAAATAAGAAAGTGAAAAGGGCAAAGCGTGAGGGTGGAAATATAGACTCTTTTGCGGGCAAATTGCGATGGCGGGAGAGGGGA